GATCGGCCGCAACGCTTCGGTTCGCGTAAAGGAGGCACGGCAGTGTCGCTACGCGCAGCTTAGCGCCGAGACACTACCAGTGTCTCCAGATATTATTCTTTATCTTTAAATGCAATTTTTCAAAGTTTATTAATAAATTTTAAAACTAAAGAAATGTTACCAATTTTTTCCACTTATAAAATTTTTATGTCGAAAGAGATTAGGCAAGATTTAGAACAGATCGCCTGAATTATATTAATATTATGTTAAATATACCATATAATGAATATATTAATTCCCAAGTAGCAAATACACATCATTTAATGTCAAAATGATGTATGCTTGCTACTTGGGATATTAATTAATAGATACAATAAGTAGAAAACATGTTAATTATCTTTTTCTTTGTTTCGTGTTACTTTTTTCTATATCATAGATATTAATTTTGAGTGAGACAATTGTCGTTTTCATACATATAATCTTTGTTTTCATATACGCGAAATTTTTTTGCTTTATACTTCGAATTGAAGTTTATTATAAAAAGTGCTAAATCTAAAGATATGAGTAATAATTGCATTTAAAAAACGTAATTATTTCGATATATTTCGCAAGAAAAAATTCATGACACTTATTGCTTCTTACATCATAATTCAATATGGTTGCAGTGAGAGAGCAAGAGCATTAAATACAAAGTTAATTTTGTTTATTAAACTTTTTACAAGACACTATTGTGTTTGTACAATATTAATACTGTTAATATTCATTATTAACAGTATTAATATTATACAAACATTTTGATTTGTTTATATCTTTTTTAATAGATATAGTACTTTTTTTAAAAATGAGATTTTTACTATTGTAATTTAGCGTTTTATTTTTCAAGTTTTTTATTTATGGAATGTTTTGATCAAAGATATAATATCTAACTTTATGTTTAAAGTATTTCAAAGTTTATTTAATGTAATATTTATAAATGTAATACTTTAAAAAAAATAAATGCGTATATGGGCATATATAAGTATATATATATATATATATACAGGGTGGGGAAATTATACATGTATATACATATATTCGTAAATATGTATAATTCTTTGTATAAATCTTTAATCCTTCCTTACCTATTTTAGTATACAAAGTATGTACATACAAGAATACCTATGTATGTATGTAGATACAAATAGAATAGTACATTAATTCAAGGAAGTATATATAAGATATTTTCGTAATTAAATTTATGTATATTGTATACACATGTATAATACGTGTGGCTAGAATATATTTTATGTATGTATAGTGACTCAGTCAGAAATGATAATGGAATCGACATCGAATCGGGGATCTACGAACGATGTACATTAGATATCTTCAAAATGTACAAATATATATATATATAAATATACGTACGTATACATCAGTACGTACATATCCATACAATGTGCCTCGTATATACATAGAATGTCATATACATAAATCCATGTATATGCAGTTTATATACACTGGATCTGAAATAAATATTCACTGTATATTGTAAATTATCTGTAATGTACATTTCACAAATGTATATGGAATCTATTTCATATGTACATATGTATATGTATACACATTGCACAAACATTCATTGAATGTATGTATATATACACATATATATTGCATGGATGTATAATACACATACAGCGCGTTGCATTTACACATACCTACGATATCCGATGTACGTCGCTTACATATCACTGTATGTACATGGGATGGGATATGTCATATTCTCTGATGTATATGCAATGTATATACATTGGATGTCAAAATGTTTACTGGGATGTAAAATGTGTTGATTTATTATTTTCCCTGAAATAAATTGCCAAATTTTGGCTTCACACAATTTAACTGTACAAACTTCATCTCTCTGTCCCCCCCCCCTTTCTTAATAATAAAAATATAATCTATTTTAATTCTATTACAATGCAAACATCCAAATCGTACTTCGCGACGCGTATGCGAAATAAAATTTGTGCGCGCGTGTATAAATACTTTCGAATATCCAGTGTTATTTCGCAATTCACAAATTGAGGCTCGATGTTCTTATTCGCTTTCAAATTTATGTCTAACCGATTCTTATCTCGCTTATATTAAGCGCGCACATCATTTTATACATTCGAGATGCAGAAATTGCAGAATCAGAAAGTTCAACATTCGCAAATTGATTGCTTCAATAATTGCGTTCCGCAAAAAAAGAAACTTTGCAACTGATTCTTTAATGATCGGTATATATATGTACATTTAGATCCAGTGAGGAACTAAGTACAATCACACGAAAGAATTTTCAGGAAAGCTGCTTTTTCTGCTGAACCTTAATGTATCTTCGGGTAGTCTCACGTAAAATAAATTGTGATTTGGAACGGTCGAATGTATTAAAGCTTGAAGCTCGTTCGTAGAAGGATCGCCAATTAGTGCGGTCTCGATATAGGGTATAGAGCCCCTAGAGTAGAGAGTCTGGACATACAGCGGAGTGCTCTCAAAATGGAGGAATGTGTGCGTGCACTTTTGCGCGCGCGCGCGCGTGTGTGTGTGTGTGTGTGTGCTTGGTTGGCTGCTGCGTCGTCATGTCGTGTAAGCGACATGGTGTTTTTCATTAATATCACATCAATTTGTGATGAGTAAGGGCCTGAGCACAATAAAGGAACAGGAATGAGATATTAAGATTTTAACCTATCAGAAACTGATTACATTGGTTTCTGATAGGTTGAAATCTTAGTATCTAATTCTTGTTCCTCTATATTGTACGCAGGCCCTAATAATAATAAATAATATCCATAAAAATGAAATGAGTAATATTTTTAATGTGTCTATCTATAATTATTTGCAACGCTCAGAAAGTTTCCTAACCTCTTTTTAAGTAATAAGAACAATAATGAATAATGTGTACTTAAAAAAATTGTATTGTAAATATATTTAAATATATGCCGAACCGAGATGCGAGGAATGCAAGAAGTTCAATTAAAAACAATAAGCATTATAGTTCACGTCATTAGTACTATACTAATTTTCCTCCCATTCGCACTGAGTGAACAAGGTTCCGTATTGGTGCTACCATTGTGAGAGCACAAGTCACGCGCATCAATCACGCGGATTCTCGTATGTCCAGACTCTCTATTCTAGGGACTCTAGGCGGTAGTAACCATCAAAGACATAGGGCCGTATTCATAGTCGAGTCTCAAGTCAATACTTAAGTCAATCTTGACTAAGTCAATCTTATTCAATCAAGATCGTCTTAAGATTGATATATTTTATAGTTGTGAAATAAGACGATCTTCACGAAGAAGATTTTGCTCAAGTAAGTCTTATTTGATTTGAGATCAACTTGGTAAAGACGTACTTAAGTACATTCTCATTCTGGAATCGGCTATTTCCGTAATATTTCTATTAGTTCCTCCAATAGAAACCTTTGGATTCAGGGGCGTCGAGTATAGCCGCGTACGTGGCACTCGTGATTTTCAATTCCATGGTCGATTCCAGACGTCCCTCATATCGCGGTTTTTTCCACGTTATTAGTAATAATGCTTCCACGTTATTAATAATAGATTAAAGTAGATTAGAAGATTTTTATTTCTTGCAGATTTTCGCCGGGCGGCGAATTACCGTACCTTCAACCTGTCATAATGTGTATATAACCTTAATTGGACAGGTTGAAGGCACGGTAATTCGCCGCCCGGTGAAAATCTGCAAGAAATAAAAATCTTTTGGTTCAAGGCGCAATTTGATTACAATTATTTTTTTTTTATTTGATTACAGTTTTGTATTACATTAGTCATAGCTGTATTGTCCATAAGGTTCTTCTTGAAGTAAGTAAACAATTATTTGTGATAATTAAGATTATTTGTGATAAGTAAGAATTTTTCAATTTAAATACAATTTTGTTTACAGAATGGCTTCTAAAGAAAAAAGTAGCAAAAGCAAACATTATACAGATATGGAAAAGAAAGTATTTCTACAAATACTTGATAAATACAAACATGTAATAGAAGTAAAAAAAAATGACAGCACAACATTAAAAGATAAAGATGTTGCATGGGGCGAAATATGCAATGAATTTAATCAGTCAACGTTAATTTGTCACGAGGTAAGCAAAGTCTAAAGAGAAAATTAGCTATTTTTTAATTTTAGTTTAATATCTTATGTGAAATCAAATACATAGTTCTATAAATAATTTTGATAACAGAGAACTGCTCAGCAATTAAAGAAATTATGGGCAAATCTAAAGCAATATCAACGAGAAGCATTAACAAAGGAGAAACAGTCATTTATGGCAACTGGTGGAGGACCACAGGAGACAAAAATAGAAGTCGATCCTGACATTGCCAATATCGCACCCCATTTGATGAAGACCGCACCAGTATTATTTTCATCTAATATGACAGAAACTGAAATTCAAGGTATATTATACTCGTGTGTATATAAATTAGGTAACTGTTAGACTTTTAAACTTATAACTGTTAGATTTTGGAGCAGAATTTTCGAGAGAATATTTTTTAACTCTTATACTACAGATCGCTGAAAGTAAGACATTATCATATGTGCAATATGTTAGCGTTAATGCTAAGCCGTCTCGGTCTAGCAGCACGTGCATTTGATATGTTAAACATGAAAATATGAACTTTTATTATTTCATGCATTTTAGATAAACATGACTTGGTGTTTGATCTCATATGTACTGACGAAGGTATAGAAGAATTGTCTAATACAGGACATGTGATAAACATAAGTGATGTAGAAAGTACTACTGCTTCGCCAGGTATTATTTTATATTTTATTTGTATTACATATTTATCTATTAAAGCGTATTTCTTTGACTATGGCAAGTACTAAATACAATTGTAATACTATCTCTTTATGTTTTGTAAACATATTTACTATTGTAGGAAGCTGTCAAAAAGAATTGATGACATCACGCAGTATAGATATGCCAAAAATACATTTAAATAATGATAAAAAAAAACCACATATTTTGAAACGAAAAAGAAAAGATTTGCTGGAAGCATCAAATGTAGAAGAGGAATTACGAATACAAAGACTACATAACATTATAAGACAAGAAGAAAAATTAGCAGACATTAAGTTAAAACACGAAGAAAAAGTAACACTTATGAAAGAGGAGCATTTAAAATTATTTAACGACATGCAATTGAACCATTTAAAAGTCATACAAAAATTAGAAATAGAAATAAAGAAATCAGAGCTAAAAAGTATCGAATTAGATAAAGAAAATATAGATTTACTCATTAAAAAATAAATTTTACTACCGTATACTATAAATAAGCCGTAAACTGTAAATTATAAGTGACGATAACCCCGGGGTCCGGATCTACAATAGGGTTTTAAGTCTTAAGCCATAAGGAATGGGCGAATCACAGTCGCTTATTCTTCTCGGATTCGACTGTGATTCGCCCATTTCTTATGACTTAAGGCTTAAAACCCTATTGTAGATCCGGGCTAAAGGTTAAAGCCTAAATCTGCGCAAAAACAGTTAGAAATTATATTGTCATTTAATCTCTTTCGACTTACGACTTAAGCCCTTTTAAAGCAAGGTTGTGAATCTTATGCATCATGCGTTATGCAAAAGGCTGTGCTTCTCTCATTAGTCAGTCGCGCGTAATAAAGTACAACCACGTACAGATATTATGTATGTTTTATTTTATTTCTATTTTGTTTAAGTTTATTTTGTTCAAAATATTTTTATTTACTGATATGTTACTAATGTAACATTTCGTTTATGTTCTATAATGAAATGATTCAAAAATAATAATATTTGGATATAACATTGTAATAATATTATCTAATATTCTGTTTTTTACTCAAAAGTAGTATTATGTTTATGATGTACAAAAATAAATTACGCTTTAAATGATACAATTGTATTTATACTTTATACATATTTTATTTTATTTATTTTATATGCACTTATAATTAAAGGATGCCAAGAGTTTGTGTACATCAGTCAATTATAGTCAATAATAATTATGTAAAATAATAATTATGTTAAATGTATTTCGCAAAAAAGGAAAAACTATTGTCAAAGTCGAACTTTTTATCTGAACAATCGTTCGATAATAGCATTTCGCACAAGGAAGCCGTCTCCTGGTTGCCAGTGAGGTGGAAGTGGCGGAACTTCGTTATTTTGATTTATATTTTCTATTTCTTCTTCTTCTTCTTTCATAATATCATTATATATTAGCGAGACATTGTGAAGAACAGCGCATGCTATAATAATTGTCGTAGATGTTATTAATTTTGTTTGAAGACCTCTTGATAAACAAGGGATCTACGTTTCCAAATTCCAAAAGTCCTTTCGACGATTCTTCGTGTTTTTCCATGGATCATATTATATCTGAAAAAAAATATTATCAATTATATATATTTGAACTAGTATTATTATATTGCTAGAATTGTAATTTTAAATTATATGTATATCAAACCTTTCTTCTTTATCACTGGTGGGATTATTAATTGGTGTTAATAGAAACGGTAAAGAAGGGTAACCACTATCTCCGACTAGTATCCCATCTAATTCACGTTGTCTGTATCGCATGTATATACGTGAATTCTGAAATATACGACTATCATGCTCACTTCCTGGCCATTCTGGAACTATATCTAAAAACTCAGTACGTGGCCCAACAACAGCCTGCAAAATATATATTAACTAAATTTTAAAATATCAATTAAAAAAATTTTAATAATATAATAGTTTATATAAATATATATTATATATATAGTCCATATATATACACACATCTATATATACATATATAAATTATGTACAATAATATGTGAATATAAATATTATATTTATACATATCAACATATTTTTACCTTATATAAAATTTTACCTTATATAAAAGATTGTGAATATTTATATATTTGTAAATTTAATTAACACATAATACAATTGTATTACTAACCTGAAAATTTGCTGTTGCATAAAATCGTAAAGAAATTAATAATTGAAAAACTGGTGCTATTGGTAGACCACGATTATTAACTTTCGAGAGTCCTTCTTCTATTAACGGTAAAATACTAAACATAATTGAATTCTTTGCAAAACGGAATCTTTTTTTGAATTCCCATTCATTATAAAATTCGAAGGGATTTTCACCATCGCGGATATATCGTTTCGGAACACGAATTTGTATTTCTTCATCTTCGCTTGATAAATTAATGTCCACAATTTCATTAATATTTATCCTATCCATTATCGGAAATCTATTCTAACATTAAAGAGTTTGCTTAAGTCACCTTTTGACATGACTTGGCGAAGATCGTCTTATTTAACTGCACATATGTCATATAAGATGTCTTATAACGACTATGAATTCATGACTAATAAGATAGTCTTAAGTCTGTTCTTATTTCGAACAAGATTGAACTGTTTATGAATCATGCCAAGACTGCTCAAGACGTTTCGAAACAAGATCATCTTGGACAAGTCATGTCTTAAGATTTTACTCAAGCATTTACTTGTTTCATGTCTATGAATCTAGGAGGCATCTTAAGACTGTACTTGAGACGATCTTGAAAATAAGTTCTGACTATGAATACGGGCCATTGAGAATGGAATGAGCGATCCGTATCTAAGTAGTGTATCAAATGTGGTCGACAATAATGAGAGAGAGGTCCGTGGGAAACGGCCAATGCCCCTCTCATTCTCTCTCCCATTACACCATTGAATGGAATGAGATAGAAATGGACGTCTGCCACGGTCCGTCTCTCTCATCCCTATCGACCATTTTGATACACGAATCGCGCAGTCCATTCTCTATGTCTTTGGTACAAAGAGGTTATATCCATAGAGGCAACTATAAGTGGGAAACTATAGGGGCAACTATAAGTGGGAAATGTTAGACACTGGAAAGAGAAAGAACATGGGATGGCCATATTTATCTTTGTCTAATGCTGCGTCGCGCATCGAACTTTGAAAGCTGAGTGGGGCGGCATCGGTATATTGCTCTCCTGAAATCTCCCCTCCCCTAACACTGAAAATCAACAGCGCATGCGCGATTAAACAGGGATGCTGAGGGCCATCTCATTTTCTGTTTCTTTCTATTCGCTTACACATTCTTAAGGCCGTATTCATAGTCAGAACTTATTCTTAAGACCGCCTTAAGTACGGTCTTAAGATGTCCTATAGATTCATAGTTGAAAAATAATAAATAAGACGGTACTTGAGTAAAATCTCAAGTTAAAGCTTATCGAAGACGATCTTATTTCAAA